GACCCGTTTGGTTCGCAGGAACCATCTTGGTTTCCAATTCCTCTGCTATCCACAACCGTATCCAGCGTTCTGTATGCTTACCGTGTGTTCCGTAGCAGCGTCTTTCGAAACATGGGTTCATGAAATCGAAAATGGCCCGAGCGGACCTGATTGGAAAACAGGGAGTCAGACGCTCAACCAAACAAATCACTTCTTGCGTAAAAAGAAATCAAAAGCGGAGCTTCGCACTAGCAGAGCTGAATACGTTGCCTGACCTCGAACCAAACACATCGTAAGAGGCTAACAATTGCTATCTATCAAGCATCTACAAAAAAAATTTAAAAAAAAATACAGAGTTAAGAAGATGTTGATGCAGGTAGAAACTGGACCAAAAAATGGTACGGATTCATATAACTTGAACGATCCAACAAAAAACGTATAATTCTGGGCATGCATATAGAGATTGGCTACAGACCAAACAGTCCAGCATCAAGTGAAAATGAAAACGATTGATTTGATTCATGGTAATGTGACTGATTCGGTTGGTTGTCCTTATGGTACTGCTCTTGACAAGAGCAGCAAAGGGTGGGTGCTTTACATTACACACAAGGACAAACAAGATTAATATGATTTGATTTGACAGCGAGTAAGGAAGGAAGGAAGGGGGTGGAAGGGGAAGAGGTGCCTTTCCATGGCGGCGGCTCGGCGCATCCATGGAGAAGAAGGCCCCTGACCTTCTCCATGTGGATGCCGGTGCGTGGTTGTGGAGAAGAATGGGGCTGTCTGAATCTGACTCGTGCGTGAGGAAGAACACCAAACGCATCAGCAGGGGGAGCGAGAAGGAGAGGAGAGGAGAAAATCGAAGACCTTGGACGAGCAGCGGCGTCCGGGGTCCCGAGGAATCAGGCCATGGCCATGGCCCTTGACGGAGGAATCTCGATCTGGCCGCCGCCTGCGATGAGGAGAGGTGAGGTGAGGAAGCAGATCAAGGTCCTCGTGGTGGACGTCGGCGGATGGATCTGGCTACGGCGCGCCTGACCTGCTCTGCCTCTTGTCTTGTGACGAGGGGAGAGGAGGTACAGGGGAGGCCATGGCCGGCGGCGGGGTCGAGGTCGGCGGCGCCGGTAGTTTTGTGGGGAGGCGAAGGGTTCGTCGATGTGAATTATCGGGAGTGGGAGTGGGAGTGGGCTTGGGCTGGGTGCGTGGACAAACAAAGAAAAAAGAAAGAAAATCTCTTGTCACCCATCGGGAGTGGGGAGGCGACGCCTCGTAATTTGTCGACGCCGTCATTGATTGATTGATTCATCGTCCATGGATGGATTATTACGAGGCATACCATTAATTGCTAATTGCCTCCTCGCTGATTGGTCATTCACGATGTGCCACGGATCGATCCTTCTCATCAATCGATCCTGTTCGTCCATGCGCTCTCTTCTCATTCTCGTTTCAACTAGCCAACCGGAACCAAGGAAAATTATTTTCATCATGGTTTGAGCGGGAGCCGGAACCAAAATCTCTTCAACGTAAAATTAAAATTCGATGAGAGTTGAAACTGCAAATAAAGAAAATATCCACAATAAGTTCCTAAAACCAAAATCTACAAGGGTGCAAAATTCTAAATAAGAAAATAAAATAGTGCCATACAATACTACGAAGAGGAAAGAGAGGAGATTGATTGAGGTGAGGGGTGGCGGTCCTAGCTAGTTGGGCCGGCCCCTCGCGAGGGAGAGACCAACAAGGTTCATGACCTCGGCGAGAGCCCGCGGCACCAGAGGTAGGATAGATCCCAACGACGTGCCCCCACCTCAAACATGTGGCCAGGAGCTGACGGCAACGAGATGTCGATGCTCGGGCCCTTGCACGCTTACGCGGATTGAAGCCCCGCCGTTGTTGGGGCGTGATAAGCAAAGGAGGAAGGCAGAGAGACGAGGAAGGGGCGAGAAAGATGCGGCCTTTGTGCCCCGTGTAGGAGCTGACAGAAGAAAAACGTGAGGAATTTGGTCGCCGGCCGGATGGATGGAATCGACGATCCCGGCTGTGGCGGAAGTAAGAGACGAGGTCAATGAATTGTCTGGTCGGCTCCGAGAGCGAGGGGCAACCAGGCTGCTTGTGCTGGAGGAGGAGGACGGCGCCGTCATGATCATGCATGCTCACCAACGGCCGGCAGCTCATATCCAGTCGTCGTCGTGGTTCTGTCTGGAGCTAGCATCGTGAAGATGGTGCATTCTACACCTGTATGTTAAATTTAACCTCACGTCAAATCAAATCAAAGGGAAAAGACCGAAACTTCGGTGAAGACACAAGGATGAAACGTAGTACGTGCGTGGGCGGGAAGGAGAGGCGTAATGGGAGGCAGACAGCTATGTATAGTCGCTGCTGCTACAGTCAGTGATATTTAGTGAAGCTAACGAAGCTCCATTCGAAACTAGCGTTAATTAGCATCTTGTGTTTTCTTCTGTGAAGACAGTATATATGTAGGGCGTTTATACATGTGCGCACACAGTCACCCATATGAAGGAATGCATGCAGACTCGACCCCTATGAACACCTTCGAAAGAATGAGCCGACACATCATTCTAAGATTGACCAAGTCTCCTCCCGCTGGATGCACATCGCCGGGGAGGACTTAAATAAATTCAGCGACCACCAATGGTGACGAGCCTATAACTCGAATCCTGGTGGGAAAAGGACGGGAACTTGCATGAAGACGAGCGGTGAGCACTAGTGAAACGACACAAAGGAAAGGCGGTGCTTCCAACTAGTAATTCGTTTTTGGAAATAGTTTAAATTCTCTTGATTTATATGGACTAGCTAGTATAAATATACGTGTTTTGTTTGGCCATTTTGATGCACGCGTGTGACGTCACGGGTGTGTAAGGTGCACGTGAAATAGAAATATGTACCCACGCATGCACGACAAGTCCGGTCGGGGGCATCTTTCTTAAATTTGCTTTGCTTTGATTCAAAACAAATCAAATGGAAAAGATTGAAACTTTGGTGATGAAGATCGACATGCATGGATGAAACGTGGGTGGGTGGGACACCAAGAGAAGTATAGAGGCGCGGTGGGAAGGAGACAGCCTGCTATGTACGTACGTACGTATGTAGCTCCATCAAACTTGCATTAAGCTTTTTGCATTCCTTCATCTTAAAAGGGAAAAGACGAAAACGACTTGTATCAAGACCAGCGGTTGAACGAGCATGGCGCGACGGGTCCAACAACATACACGAGACAACGCACGGTTCTCGGGAGAGAAAAGGGCGCATCCAGCCCAACCGGCCGCCGCCGGCTAGTCCATGGGCCGCCAACGTGAGGTTTGGCGGCATTGCATCCATGGAGCTGGCACCGTCTAGTCGAATAAATTTCCCCCATGCCTGGCTCCATCTTTGGTACATAGTGTCTTTTTCCGGCGGTGCCGAGGGGCTCAGGGATATGCGTGCTCGCCGTCCCTTCTGGTTGGCGAGTCTAGTGTGTGGGGCGATGCTGTTCTTGGTGGTGATGGCAGCGACGCATCCGAGAATAATGCCCGGGCTCCAGTCCCGTCTTGACAGTGTCCATGGCGGCGTTGAGGAGCCGGTGGGGTCGGTCTCCCATCTATCTTTCTGGTCGGCGGTTTTAGGTCTTCGGCCGGTGGCTGGTGTTATGTGTGATGTCACCGATGGGCGAGTGAAAATGGTGATTCCAGATTTTGGCTTGTGGATTGAAGGCGGCGGATCTGGTGCTCGATCGGCCTCGACGGTGGCTCCAAGATTCGAGTAGAATGGGGATGATCCCTGGTCGTCGAAGCCCCACAGCGACAAAGGCTTTGCCGACGGCGAGCTTCTTCATGGACTCTAATGTATTTTCCTTTGGTTTGTTTTTTGTGCAAGTTGCACTCAACCCTTCTGGTCGATTCCGCGTGCGTGCGTGCGTTGTATTCATAATATTTTGTGATGAATGAAACACGTTGTTACCCTCAAGAGGAAAAAGAACATGGGCGAAACGTACGACACGGTTTGAAACGAAATTCGTCCGGTTTACTCGTATTGTTGCCCAAATGTATGCCCACCGCATCCGGGTCGGGTCATGTTTCTGAATTTGCTTTCCTTTCGTTCATTCAAATAAAAAAGAATGAAGAAAAACGAGATTGAGATTTGGGGCGAGCGAACGAGCGAGCGTGTGACGTCACGCAGCGCGCATGCATGCAGATGCACGCGTGCACACCACGCACCGCGCAATCCAAGCGATAGATACTTTCGCGCTCCAACATCTGTTGGCACAAGCTAGCTCGACGCTGCTGTAGCCGAGTACTTTCCGGCGATACACGTATACCAGACTAGCTAGCTCGAGTACTTTCCGAGCTTGCCGCGTGACCGGTTGGAGTCGTAGACGTACACTAGGTGCACTCTAGCTGGCTGCTGGATCGATTCTACGGTGGGTAGCTAGCTTGCTTGTACAAGTCGCTGGCCCCATTGATGATCGATCTAATCAGAATCCTATACGGTGTCTGACTCTAGTCCGAGCCGGATAATTCCAACAACATCTACTTAACCTCTTCACCTACCCACGGTCTTTCCGTTGCTACGAGGTGGAAACAACAGAAATCCAGCTGTAAAACTTCCGATCTAGCAAGTCGGCCATGGCGGACTGCTCGTCGCTCCCATCCGATCTCGTCCGCCGCATCGCCGAGTGCCTCCTCGACACCAACGACCTTGACTGCTACATGGACTTCCGCGCCGTCTGCCGCAGCTGGCGCTCCGCCACCGACGACCCCTCCAACTCCTCCGACCCCCGCTTCTGTCCTCGCAACTGGATCATCATCGACAAGGCCTTCGAGCCCAACTCATTCCTCATGGTGAACACCGCCAGCGGCCGCGTCCTCCACAAGGACCTGCCTGTGCTCCGCAAGTACTATGTTGTCGCCGTCACCACCAACGGCGCCTTGTTCGTCCTCGCGGACAGGGAGCATCCTCACGCTGCACGCGTACTCAACCCTTTCACCGGCAACATGATCCGTTTCACTGCGGCCGTGCCCTACAACATGAAGGTTTCTTCTGCCGCCTTCTTGTGTCGTTCTTCGCCCAGCCTCCGCTTGATCTGGGACTCGGATAGAGGCCAGCCGGATGGATATTGCAATCTGTACACTGCTGATCCCGACAGCCAAGGTTTCACAGTGTATGAAGAAGAGGACTGCGGTTATCTCCTGCAGCGGCTGGCCGTCCTAGGTTGTATCGGCAAAGACGGTGAGCCGCTGGCGCCGCTTCCGGTTGCTGTGGCTGAAAAGATCTTCGATGTTGTGAGGTTGCCCAAACGCGACTTTGATTTTCATCAGGCACTTTTGTACGCCATTGAGATGTCTCAAATCACGGACTATGATTTGTTTCAACGGTATGGCATACTGGAATCTGCTGGAGAATTATTTCTAGTGCTTAAGGAACAACATCGCTTCAAGGTCTTCAGGATCAACACCGACAGAATTGTGCTTGAACCTGTTGAGAGCATCGGCAGCCGTGCATTCTTTCTCGGTCGGGGCAGGTACATGTCTGTCGATGCACACAAGTTCCCATACATCGATGCCAATTGCATATACTATGTGAAGTCGACATTTCCGACATGTGACATCTACAAGTACGACCTCGAGGTCGAGAAAGAAGAGAGGGTTTCTCAAGCCAGACATTCCTTGAACCCCAGCACCTCCACGTTGCCTGCCACAATTCCTCCCTTCACCATCCTCAGGCTTCTCTCCAGCTACACCAACAGCATCCAGACAAGTCAGCTCACGAGGTGTGCGAGGATTCAAAGCGTTACACGATCCGGGTTTAAATCTGAGTATGCATATGAAGCGTCGGACCCAGGGAGTTGCTGGTGCCTGAACATGATAGAAGTGGTGGATTTTCAAAACTATCCGCGCCGTCCGCGCAACGGCACGGAAGTAGCTCGCCCATGAGTCCACGAACCTTCCCAGCAGACAATGTTCTTTTTTCAACAAGTATGTGTATGGTTGAGGGACAGTTTATGCAGGTTGAGAGGACGAAATAACATTTCGAATTTGGAGTCTAGTTTTAATTATATTACTAGTGAGAAATTGAGACCTAGGGTCTACGTATCATGTTATGTTATGAACTTATTGGTTAATATTTATTTTATAACGCTTCTCAGCATCTAAAATACGATTGTTCTCTCCAAAGTCCTGACACGGTTGGTGCTTTTAGGTTTTAGCATACGAAACCGTTTTCTCGGTTTCTTTTTGCTTTTTGTTAGTCAGTCGTAGTTTCAGTGCATAGAAGCCAGGGTAAGGTAAAGTACTCACAATGGGGGATCCAGGAATTTGTTGAAGCCTCGTGACAGCGCAAGGTAAAGTACTTCACTTTAGTCTATCAAAATCCGCAAGTATCACACATTTTGCTGAACGTCATGCAATAGGAAACACTAATATTTTATAGGTCATATATGATAAAAACTGAAATACAATGACAAATTTCTTGCTAAATACTATCGGCACAAATACACAATGCAACAATCTAACCGTCAGTTTAAAAATCAAATAAACTGACCCCAGCTGACATTTCTATGGCGGGTCTACTGTTGTTTGCCACCTCAAGGTCCTGCCCTGCCAGCACCTGCACGTTCCCTGCCACAATTCCTCCGTTCACCATCCTTAAGCTTCTCTCCAGGTACACCAACAGCATCCAGACAAGTCAGCTCACGAGGTGCGCGAGGACTCAAAGTGTTTCACGATTTGGGGTTAAATCCGAGTATGCATATGAAGCGTCAGACCCAGGGAGTTGCTGGTGCCTGAACATGATAGAAGTGGTGATTTTCAAAACTACCCGCGCAACGGCGCCGAAGTAGCTCGCCCAGGAGTCCACGAAACTGCCCAGGGGACAATGTTAATTTTTTCAGCAAGTATGTGTATGGTTGAGGGACAGTTTCTGCAGGTTCAGAGAACGAAATAACATTTCGAATTTGGAGTCTAGTTTTGATTATATTACTGGTGAGAAGTTGAGACCTAGGGTCTACATTTCATGTTATTTTATGAACCTATTGGTTAATCTTTATTTTATAACGCTTCTCAGCATCTGAAATACGTTTATTCTTTCCAAAGTCCTGACCCAGTTGGTGCTTTTAGGTTTTAGCACACGAAACCCTTTTCTCAGTTTCATTTTGCTTTTTGTTAGTCAGTCGTCGTTTCAGTGCATAGAAGCCAGGGTTTGCTCACAATGGGGGATTCAGGAATTTTTTCAAGCCTGGGAACAGCGCAAGGTAAAGTACTTCACTTCGGTCTATCAAAATCCGCAAGTATCACACATTTTGTTGAACATCATGCAATAGTAAACACTAATGTTTTATAGATCATATATGATAAAAACTGAAATACAATGACAAATTTCTTGCTAAATACTACTATCCGCACAAATACACAATGCAACAATCTAACCGTCAGTTGATCAATTAGAAAAACTGACCTAGTTTGCTAGTTAACGTTTGTATCTGGTGTCAGTGGCCCCAGCTGACAATTCTATGGCGGGTCTACTGTTGTTTGCCACCTCAAGGCCCTGACCTTATATATGTACGTTTGAAATTCGCTGCTGCCGGATGAGCGACTAGCTTTAGCGTCGATGATTCACAGTCTGCCGGGGCCATTGCTTATGATTGTGCCCATCGCCCGCTAGCTGGAATCACAGCCTGACTATAGCCACGGCCGGGCGCCATATGTCCACACCTGTTTTATGGTCATCCTGGTCTAATACGCCGCCTCGCATCTGACCGGAGATGTGACCATTGTTTCTTTAACGCAGAAATTCCATTAACTTTGGACGGCATAATCGCCTGGCATTGCCCCTGGTAACAACATATGGGAAATTATCTACCCACACATGGTTGTACTCACGCGGCTCATCCGGTCCAACCGCCGCTAGGTCATGAGCTAGTCTGTTACAAGAACGTTTGCATGTACATGATATGAATGACGTTTGCATCCGAAATTTAGTTTCTCAGAACAGAGCTCCTAGTCTCGGGACTAGATTGTTCCGTTGATAACTTGTTCCGGTCATTACAAGTACAGCTAGGAAACGATATGTATGCAACTCATGCATGAAGTAGTGTCATAGAGAAATACTACTGCAAGTTGGAACCATACTCAAAGTTGACCACTGCAAGTTGTACTGAGCAGACTCGTTCTTAACATGCATATAAAAGACTCCTAAATAAACATCAGGATACTTTCCAATCATATTCCAACTCACGTTCAGCTGTTGTGTGCTTCTTCCTCTGTTATTAAAAATCATCCAAGTCTTCTCCGTATCCAATGGTGTCTTCTTCATATCCCACAGTAATGCACAAGGCGAGGCAGTCCACAATAGTGTGTGGCAGCATTATCGATTCACGCAGATTATAGCCGTCATGAGGTGTGATGCTTCTGTCTGTGAGGTGGTAAGCCTCAAAATCATCCCTATCACCGACGTCAGAGCTCAAGTAGATAGTGTCGCCACTTATGGAGCCTGAGGGGAAAATCTCTATGGGGACCGAGAGAGAGCAATACATGCCCATGAACAATGCACGTTCTCTCCCAAGGCTATTAACAGCAACACAAAAGCAACGTAAACATCTTTTCAATTTACACAATATATACTTTTTGCCCTAAAAAACGTAATATGTATTTTTACATAAAATATATGGTTTTTTTGCGGGTGTACATAAAATATATGTTGATGCTTCTTGAGAAAATTGTTTCGATGACAGATATGTGTTTGTACAAAAAAGTAAATTATAAATGTGTACTATGCCCTATAAAAAATGTTCATGTGCATTTAAAAATTATTAACACGACGTAATATAGCGTTTTCTAGTTCATAAAAAAATGTTCATGCATCTCAAAATAAATGTACATGAACATTTTGTTACAGATGACTTGAGTCATCGATCCCCATGCCCCTCCCCCCCCTCCCGCGTTGTCTCCTCTGAGGCGACCCGGGGGCAACCCTATCGCCGCCACCGAGCTCTCCCCCTCCCTCTTCGTCCACTCCGCCGCTACCAGAGGAGCGCTCGGCGCTTGTGCGTGGCCCGATGATGGTGGCAACGGGGATCTGGCGCCTCCTCCTCGGATGGAGGGTTGTGGCTCCCGGAGCGGCGGCTCCGGACGGTGGCGCGCGGCGCCGGCGGGTGCTGGTGGGTAGCCTCCCACGGCTGCGCGAGCAGCGTGGAGGTCGCGGTCGATGGTGCAGCGGTGGCTCCTCGCAGTCCGCAGGATCGCTTGAAGAAGCTTTGGTCCCGGCTCAATCTTCTCTGATCTGCGCCGGTGGTGGTCCTTGGCGGAGAGGACCATCGTCCTATGCTGTTGGGCGGCTAGATCTGGCGTTTGGGTGTGGTTTCGGGGGAAACCCCTGGCCGGCGTGGCGGCCCCCCAAAGTCGACGTCTTTGGCGCCAATCCCCTCCCTGGAGGCTTTGGGTTGAACCCTCCCACTCCCGCCTACCCTTGAGCTCCGGTGAAAGCCGGCTCTCCCCTGGTCTGGGCGTCGATGCCACCTCGGTGGTGTGCTCCTTCTTGAAGGCGGCAGTCGGGATTGGCTCTTGGTGGTGGAGTGGCCGGTGTCCCGGTTGCGAAGCACGGCGGCTTGATGTTCCTGCTACATCCTTCTCGGTCTCACCCTTGCGTGGTGAACCTTCTTCGGTCTTCTTCATGGTGGCGCGTCTTTGCCCGATAGCTCGCGTCCTGTGCTTCGTGCTGCCTCTGCCGGCTTTGGTTCTCGTCTGGATGGGCTTCTGTTGCTCGTGGGTCAGCGTTGCCTGCTTCTCCTATGGTAGCGTTGCCTGCTTCTCCTATGGCTGGCACCTAGCCCCCCACCGCATTCCTATGCTAGCAGTGTCATATAGCCTGAGCGGGAGCATGCGGCGTGCTCTCCTCACGTCGGAGCAACGCCGCGCGCCCGGCGTATGCGCCAGATTTGCCGCACCGGGTTGTTTGGTTCACCACCAAGCACGACGTGCGGCCCCGGCCGCCGTCCAGATGGACGCCCGCCCTCCACCACCGTCGCCGGTGGTGAGGCAGGAGGACGCGGAGGCTGAGGCGGCCTACCAGGCAGCACTGGAGGAGGCCTTCCAGCGCGAGGAAGATGCCCGCTGGCCTAGCCTCGAGGAGGTGCTCCAGCTGTTTGTGGCCGGCGACAGAATCTAACCCCGGCCGCCACAGTCACCACCGGGCCGGCATCGCCAGCACCCGCGCCAACACTACCGCACCCGATGGTCACCTTATTTGTCGGTAATTACTAAAATTTCAACATAACTTAACATTTATGTCTTAGTTGAGAAAGTAGTTATACGTGGGTTGATGCGTGCGCACAGCGTACAAGCCGTTACCCACGTACATGCATGCATGCGCACGGCTCCTCTCGATGACAGACATGTGCACGACGGACGTACTAGCCTCTACCTACCTACCTAGGCGTATGTCTCCTCTGGTGCACACGACAGTAAACGTAGCGACCAGGCAAATCCCTCGCCGTAGCCGAAAGACAAGGAACATTCCGTCCAACAGTTTGTGTGCACCAGAAACACATTCATGTTCCGCCGCGTGTATGTGAGCGCTTTCGTCTGTACTGCATTCAAAAAAAGAAACACATTCACGTGCTCGACGGAGGCTTGTTGCACCCACCACAAACACGTACACATCCACATGCACATGCGCAGCCGGAACCGACGACCCTGTCGCGGCGGCGGGGCACTGAACGGCCAGAGATGATCGAGGAAGGAGACGACCTGCGAGCCTCCGACGGTCCGGCGCTTGCACGCATGCCGGCGGCGCTGACCGAAGAGGATGGAAGACGAGGTCGATTGATGCGTGGCGAGGGTCGCGGCTGGTGGACGGCCTAGCTGCTAGGGTCGACGGTCCCGTGGTGGCCTGGGTGGTGAAGCGAGCCATCCCGGCGAGGTCCTCGGCAGAGGGAAGA